GCATAACAATTTATCATAATAAATCATCATGACTTTACATTCATCATTCACATTTACGTAACAATCATAACGTTTCGATCACCATACATACTTATTTGTTACTAAAGTTCGTCTCTTATGTATCTCACTTACGCGTTCGTCTCATTCCTAGGTAAACCACTCTTTGATACCACATTTGTAACACCCCTAACCTAGGACCTAAATAGGTTGAGGATATTACCATCGTGCCTTACAATGAACGTATGACACAAGGCACTTTGTTCTCCTTATGGTGTTATAGGCATGGTTTTTGCTAAGCAAACCTATTAAATATCTAATGGGTCCAACTTTCCTTATAAATTTCAACCTAAATTGAACTATTAATTTTTTTTTCATTTTAACATTTTATTTTAATAGTTTAGACTAAAATAACCGATCCGTATCTCTTAGTTTTATCAAATTCTTTTTCTATTAGCTAGAATAAATTTATCTAGTCGGTACCCATTATTTTATAGTCTACATTTTTTCCTTTATTAACTATCATTTTTTAATTAAATAACTTGACCACCCATATCATTATTATCAAATGACAGCATGTAGACATTAAACTAATAAAAACTACACTACACATTACTCGTACTATTACATATTTAGCATGTCCAAAATCGATTGACATATAACTAATTTTTCTTTTTACTCGACTATTGGTTTAGTACCACACTACTACCAAAAGTGGTTTATTTATTTACAAGTCTATTTTCCTTCTTTTTTTCCTAACTAACCATTTACCTATTCACTACTTTGATTATCATATAAAACAAAGCATCCATACCCAAAACATACACTAAGATATCGAGAACTAGTAGCATAACGATATGAAATAGGTCTAACTTGCAGCCATAGGCAAGATACACTCGAGTGGAAAGACAAGGGAGTTCTTTCGGTAGTAAGCATCATGAAAAACATAACCATCACTCTGCATTGTTCACCTCAATATCACAAGAATTGGGTGAGTGATTGCTTAGTAAGTTTATCATCCATGCTATGCACATATGCAAGGGAAATACACTTGAAAATCATTTTCATGTCTTTCCTAAAATTCGTTTACATGCCATAAAATCCTTTCCATGATCTTTGTGAAACTTTTCTATCTTCAAACACGTCCTATCGAATGTATATTATGTACATGTTTATACATGTTAGGCCTTTAATTCCCTAAATGCTTCTCCTGTAAGGCCATTACGAATTCCCCCATAGACGAAGCCGTTACCAATTCCCTCGATGAGAACTTTTAATTCCTATTAGCTGGAGCCATTACCAATTCTTGTGGTGAAGAAATTCTTTAGCCTAGGCCATTACCAATTTCCTTGGTGAAAGAAATGTTAAGGACCATGTAAAAAAGCCTTTTTATGGTTTTAAACCTTTCCATAATCTTGTCATGCGTGTGCATTTAAATGTGAATGTATAAACTCATGAATCATTAAAATGCATGTCATGAATGATGTGTGTTTATACAATAAAATTACAAGTCTCAACAACATAAAAATGCATATAGTAATTCTTTACCATTCAATCCATCATAATCTATTCACGATGCACACAATCCAAATAAATGAAACATTTAACATAGTGTACCACCCAAAATCACATTTGGCAATATCAATCAATCAACAAGACATTGCACCCATGTAAATCATCCATTCATAACCACAAGAAATTGTACTATAAGCACATAATTGCACATAGTGAACATATGTCTTATAATTAGTCAACCATGAAAACATTAATTGAAGCTAGGTGAAGTTTTCTTTTCCCGATCAATTTCACACATTAACCTATCTAATTAACTTAACTCATTTATTTAATTCATCTAAACACCATTATACTTGAACTAATTACTAACTCTAATTTTTTCTTTACTTGGCCGAATGTACACCTAGGTTAAATTAGATGAATTTTTTTATTTTTAATGACAAATCTCATGCTAACTCATCTTAATATACTTCAATAGCATGTAATCAATCAATTAAACATTAATAAGCCAAAGGCACTAAAAACCTTAATTTTCACTATTTAGGTCGAATGTATGAATAAATGAAACTAGGTATAATTTTCAATTTTAAAGTCAATTCTCATCCCAAATCATCTAACGACAATATAATAACTTATTTTCAATCATTAAACATCAAGAAAATAAAGACACAATAAACACTAAAAATCACTATTTGGGTCAAAAGTTTCATCATGAAGTAAGTTAGGAAATTTAACATTTTTCCTACTTGTTTCTATGCTTAATTAACATATTCTATTATCATTTTCATCAATTTGAACATCTAAACCATTTCCCCTAATTTTATATAATCAAGAACCCTAACCCTAATTCATGCATTTAATTTAATTAAACGTGAATTAAGGGTACAAAACCAACAATTCACATCAAATAACAAGTCCTTCGATATAGGTAAGATTAACCTACCTTAATTTCTCTAAATTAACCCTTTTTAAGTTGAGTTTTCCTTCTTTTTTCCTTCCTCTATGTTTCAACCACTTGGTCAATTTTTTCCTCCTTTATGTTTTTGATCTTCTAGCAAAAATTCTTGATTTAATGAAGTGTTTTAAGGGTGTTTTTAGTGTTTAGGTTAATTTGGCCTCGAAATTTCTTGGGAAAATTTTGCAAGTGTTTGACCTAATTTTGTAATTTTTTCAACATTGTTTCTTCCCTCCTCCAAGCCGAATTTATAGGTGAGCTTTGCTAGACTTTTGCTTATTTTAACTTGATCTCCACCCTTCATTTTGCTTAATCTCCACTCTTAATTCATCTTTTAATCCTAGCCTTTCATTTGGTTAAATCTCCACCATCCATCTTTCTTTTAATACTAACCCTTCATTTGTTTGATCTTCGACCATCCATTTGCTAGATTAATCATGACAATCATTTATTAACGGTGAGAGGTGGTGGGTTAAGGTGGAAAGATTTAGCCATAAATATTTATTTTAGTCCCTTGATTTATCACACTTTTTTAATTCAATCCCTATCTTTAGTCCCTTTAATTTTAATTGACTACTTTTGGTCCTTCCCTAAGGCTTTTTCAACATCTTTATGCCTCATAAAGTTTATTTTTAAACTTATTTAAGGGCTAAAACTTTTAACTTTATATAAGTGGATCCCAAATTTTTATGCAATTAGCTCCCTAACTTTATACAATTAAATCTTCATGCACATAATTAATTCTATACACTTTCGAAAATATTTTATTTTGACAATAAATTGATGCACTCTCTATAGTAATTTATTCATCAATTACTTAATTTTTATACACTCATCTAGGCACTCAAAATAATTATTTTGTATAAAAGAGCACTATTTATACACATAAAAGTGAATAAAATATTCATCAAATACGTAAAAATTCATTTAAGTTCATCGAATATTCTAGCACACCTCTAGCAATTATTCTATGCACACGTAATAATTTTTGCACGGTTAAAGTGTATTAATTCATTTATTTATAGTTTGGGGATACTACAATTACTCTCAAAATACCTAGTGGTCTCCAATCCTTTCGAGTTTGATACACAACGGTGTATCTACACATTTTAAATATCTTGAACATATTCAAGTTTGCATTTTTACATCTCATTCATTCGAAATAATAAGTAAATAATTTACATCATTTTTATTTAAAATAATAAATTGGTATAATCGGTTTCACAAGATACCCAAATAGTGACTAAAAAAAGTGAAATTACTAAAAAGCTCATTTTGGTAAGTTTTACTTTCTTCTACCTCGTCGAAGGCTGAAATTATTTTATCTAGTTAAAAATAAAAAAGTAATTACCATATTTTATGTGTCATGTCCTTAGTTTTTAATCACTCCAAACCATAATGTGTAACAACAATCAACAAAATTCATGGCTAGACTATATATTTTACAATCCAACAAATCCGGTAGAATCAGTCTCATAGTTATTTTGGGTTTAGTTTAAAGTTCAAGTTTATTTTCCTTCCACTTTTTTCAATATGACAAAATGCCAAATCTCGAAATACCATCCCTCTATTATTTAAAATTTATAAATTCATCAAAGCTTGCACAACTTGGATTTAGTATAATTGCATTTTGGACTCGTAATAATGACAAAAGACCATAGTTTTCAAATTGAATTCTTGGAGAAACGATCACAATATCCATATCCCAAAGAAACTTTCCATCAAACTCCCAAAGAATTATCCTTAAACTACTCGTTCTTTTTCTCAAATTCCTTACTCTACCATACACATAGTCAAATTCGATCAATTAATAGAACTAAAGAAACACCTCTAGTAAGAGCAATCCTTGCTATTGCTCTTTTAGATTTTCCCAAACCAACAACAATAATAAATTTTCCTTGAAGGTCCTTCAATTTAAGGAACTGTTTAAGAAGTGATGGTGAATGGTTTTCATTTATTTGTTGGTTGTTTATTAGGTTTAAAACCAAGGTTTTGAAGTTGTATTTGAGAGAGAAGAGCTTTGTTTCTATGTGTTCTTTGCTTTGAGAAGACGATTCAACCTTCTAGTTGGCTTAAATGGTATGGAGTCTAATTTGAGAGAGTTGGATGGCAACATTTAATGGCAATGGGAATTCGTGGTTTTAGTGGAAAAGAAGGAATGTATTTAGTGGGTTTTTGGTGTTTCGCTAGGCTATTGGGTGGAAGAGGATGACTTTTAATAGTAGTTGAGGTTTATGGTTGGATGAAATAGATGGTCATAATGGGTAGTGGTAGATCAACATTAGTATTGGTGACTGTTTGGTGAGCATTTATGTTCAACCAAGGCAAGTCATTGTGAGGATGAGGTTATGGAGTATGGTTTTAGGTGAGGGTTATAGTGGTTATGGAGTTTTAGGTGAGGATAACTAGAGTTCTTTAGAGAAGATAATGGAGATAGAGGTGGGTGATAGCTAGTAATGATAACTAGTGTTTTTTAGAGATGATAAAACTAGTGATGGGCTATAGACAAGGACGATAGAGGTGACTTTGGGCTATGTTAAGCAATTGCGAGGATGAGGCTAGTTTAGGTGTGACGGCTAGGCATGACTTGCTAAGGTTGAAGATGGTGGGTGATGGTTAGTAGTGGGTTTGGTAAAGGATGAGGCTATTTTTGGTTTGGTGGTCGGGTGTGGCATATTAGACGTTAGAGATGAAGAAGGTGGACAATGACTCGGTAGTGGGTTTGGTAAATGATGAGGCTACTTTTGGTTTGGTGGCTAGGTACCACTTACTTGAGGTTGAAGATGAAGATGATGGTCGATTAGAGGATGATGGAGTCTAGTATTTTCTTCTTTTTTTTTTTTTAATTCTTTGACTAATAATGGTTGTCTCCATGTAGAATGGGAGATGTCTTCCATTTATAGCGGGTCTTGCAAGATTATTGGTAAAAATCTTAATTGGTCCCTAATTTCTCCATTTTTTTCAAATTCGATCTCAACCTTATTATTTTCAGTCCATCATATACCTAATTGAAATTATAGAGTGATGTCGGATCGAGAGATGTCAAATCTTATGGTAGCTCGGATAAACAAAAACCAAGCAAATAACCCTCGTTTCCAAAATTTTAAGAGCACTTTAGAAATTAAAGTCAACATATTATTATTATAATTATTATTATTAGTATAAGTTTTCTTTGTTTCATAAAATTTTTTAAAACATACTAAAGATAAGAAACATCCTATGTGCAATGAAGTGAGTATTGTAGAAAATTCTCTAGGCATTATATTCAATCGTAAAGTAAAAAATATGTAATCAAACATATTTTTCAAAACATAGTTCACTCACCTACAAATGGACCCGTAAACGGGATGGTCCCAAAACATTTATTTTTTTATTTTTATACTACATGTACATCCGTAATGACATTTGATAACATGTAAAATCCAAACTTTCCAAGAGAAAAAAATCAACAACTAGGTGACGATGGTTTCATTTGCTTGATTATTATGATCGGCAGTAATCATTTTGATCGCATTGTTACAATCTAAACCAATAACCTATATGGAGAGACATGTTAGCGAGTGAGTTGGATGCAAATGTTAACAAACAAAAATCCTCATCTTTTGGCTAAAACCTAAGAGGAGCACGAGTTAGTTAGTCAAACAAGGAATCTACATAAACACAATAAACCACTTATAAAGAACGCATGTATGTATATTAATGGAAAAAAATGTAGATTTACATTAAGTCGAGAATCTTACTTTTGTTCTAGAAGAATAGTTTTAAAAAAATTCGAGCAAATAATTGCTGGGATAAAAGTTATCATCCTAGTGAGTGTTCGTTTTAAGTCAACAAGATAAACTAATAAAACGATAAGGACGTGTTAACTTATAAGTACATAACATAGTTTCCAAACTATAATAACCAAAAATGGATTACACACCCATTAAACAAATGGAGTTCTTCCATTTTATGCACCAACCTCTTTGATCTCTTTGCAAACTTGATCTAGTTCCGCACCTAGAACGTCTATTTTGTTTAAAACCTAAAATGTTAATTGATTACATATAAACCAATTAGATTTAACCTACCAAAGCATTTTAGAGAATTATAGTATATATATTTATAGAATCTCATAGATGAGATACTTGTGTATATGTACATAAACTTATATGCAAAACGGAAGATGATAACCAACTTGTAGGGATAATTTCTACGTTGTTTTCCAAGGAAAAATAAACATTAGCCAAAATTTGTGCTTTCCACCCCTTATAAAAAAATAAATATTCTTCGAGAACAAAAGTAATAACAATAAACCCGAATGGATAGGTAAACAACTTAGCAAACGAGTACGTTTTCCTTTTAAGTTTATAAATCTAAAAATTTCAAACTAAAATCTACTATATCAAAATTACATAAAAATTTCTAACCTTCACTAGGCAATAAAAATCATATTTTTCGGATAAAGTACATATTAAATAAAAATTTTCACATGAGAATCATCAACAATAAGTACAACACCCTCACAAGTATTAAGAGAATACGAAACCTATAAATAAAGAATATAAACCACACAATTAAATCAAAGCACATCCATATACATGTCATTCACTCACATTTTCATTTCCTAGTAAACAATTTCCAAATATCTAACAAATTTAACTTTCTTTTCTTTCTTCAAACCCCTAGGATAGCCTCGGGCTAGCTTTCACATTCCAACACTAAATCCCTTCGTAATAGCCAAAAGAAATTTCTTTCTCACAACATCCCCTCGAATTCTAACTACGAGCTTTCGATTATGGTTTATAATGGTTATGCTATTTTCAAGTGCTATGAAATAATAGGCGAGTGATGAATTTAAAGAGACTAAGGTGGGATTTTTTGAAATCATCTCATAATGCAGCTTTTAGTATGCAAATTAATGCCCTTTTTAATCATGCTTAGATGGAACGGAAATAAGGGTGGGAATGAACAACGAGTTTTGGCTAACTAGCTATCATTTCTTTGTAAGTGACAATACATTATGTGGATTTCACTTAAGAGTGACAATTCATGGTACACCTCTTATGAACCCCCTCCACATTTTCTAACTAAAATTTTAAACTAGTATCATTTTGATTATATACACATATATAGCTAGAAAAAGATCATGGACCATGGTACCTAATAAAAAAAAATGAATGAGGTGTTTCAAAAGATATGAATTGAAGTTGAGAAATTAATTTTCTTTTTTTTAATGAACGATAGATGATGAAAAAGCTTGTAAATTGTAAATAAAGAGGTAAAGCTTCTAATTTTCATTCTAGTAGAGTATTCTATATTATAGTAATATATAGGCCTAAAGTTTGTGATCCGAATTTCAATTCTTAGGAATCGATTAGCATTTTATACTACTATATTATTCATTAGATTGGCAATTAACCTTCTATAATTCCTCCTTGCTTTAACTATCATATAGTTTAATCCTTTCATACAAATACCTCCATTAAACACAAATAGGAAAAAAACTACTTCAAGATTCTTCCTTTTCGATTCATTTGAAAAGCCGATCAACCTTTAATAAGGCCCTTCATTAGTGTTAACCTCCCTTTCAAGATTTGACGAGTCAATTGAAAGCAAAAATCTCTAATTTTACATCCTAAAATATCAAAAGTAACTTGTTTTTTATAGAAAAAAAAGTTTCAAACTTACCCTACGGACCCTCTCATTGAAAACACTTGGAGAGACTTGCAAAACATCGGGGCCATGACCATCACTAAAAGCCTAAGTCCTGCTAGAAGTTAACCCCATTTGAGCTCCTCTATTAAGCATCTCGAAGCCTTTGATCTTGAGGAACCGCACACTCTCCATCATCGGAAATGATGTAAAGGGACGAAGGACAACTTCGGTATTAGGATGCTTCCACTCCACTATTGATTCCCACTATTCTATTCATTAATTATATTTGAAATAACGATACAAAACAATCTTCAAAAGGTGTGTTTGAGACTAATTCAAAATTAAGGGCAAAGAGGAAGATAAAGTGGGAGTGGGTACGAGAAAAAGAGTTGAGAGGTAGAAAATCCCTATAAGTCAAGGGGAGAGGTCTGGAAGATGAAGCGTTGGTTTTTCTTTTCACTTCTCAAAATAGACAAAACAAACAAACAAAATGTGGATGCTGGCTATTCAAAAGGTGTGGCGGTAATGATTAATTTAGCATACTTACCATTAGAAAGAACTAAGTGCCTAATTGATTTGAAATAAGCTATAGATAGAGAAGATTCTTTAAATTATAAATTAGGTTTTTTAGTGGATGATTATAATTTAGTTATAACAAGAAGGAGAAGAATGAAGAACTAGAGGAGAAGATTCTTTAAATTATAAATTAGGTTTTTTAGCATATGGTTATAATTTAGTTTCTAATAAGAAGGAGAAGAAGAAAGAACTAGAAGAGAAGAAAGTAAAATAGGAAAGTAATTTATGATAATAATATAAATTTTTTTAGTAAAAAAAATAAAATTAAAGCTGACATGTGGTATTAAAATGAAATGGCTTATATTTGGCATAAAGTATTTTGTTACGGGATATAAATTTAAAACTATCTTATTACAAAAAATAAGATATATATATATAAACTCCAAATATTTGTACTCGTGGCGCAGCGAAACTCACGTGCTGATCTAGTTGATAACTACTTCGGGTCTTAGAGGACTACAAACCTTACGTGGTACCCAACCGGGAGAAAGAAATTTCTCGGAAAATAAGTACTGCTTAACGGGACTATTTGGTATCCCTCTGCATAATGGGTCTGACCCATTTAAAAAAAAGAAAAAAGAAAAAAACAAATCGGTTGAAACCAACATATAAATAAAGTCGGTTTTAGGTTTTTTATCTGTTTAGAAAAATCTACACTGGATCTCTCTCTCACTCTCTGTCTCTTTTTTCTGTATAAAACCCTAGCAGTAGCGGATCGAAAATCTCTATTTTCTATCCTCTCTACTACTTAGTAAGTTTTCTTTCCATTTATTAATTTATTATTAATCTCTATAGATTTGATTCCTTTGTATAATAAATTTTGCTTGGAAATTAATCTTTTTTTTTTTTTTTTGTTATGTTATTCACGGATTAGGGTTTTTAATTTCGAGATAAATGGAGAAATGAATGACTGGTTTTAATCTGTGTTAGGTTTCTTCGACTGCGAATTTGGTGGGTTCTGGTTAGCACTATTTTTTATTGTTATTATTTTGCCATTTATTAGGGTTTAAGGGTTCTCTGCAATGCGGGTTTTGTTTGGTTTATGATTATGAAGTTGAAATTTTATGATAGTGAATTTGGGTTACTGTGAACTGATCAATTTTTTTTATTGCAACTTGTTATTTGCAGGTAGTTTTAGCTATAGAAATTGTGGGGTTTTCTTTGGGGTGGAGTTGGTTTGATGCGGGTTGTTTTTGGATTTTTGATTAAGTTTTGGAGAAAAAATAATGCCGGCTGCAGCAATCTTACCGCTTCCAGCACCTCCTGTTAATGGAGATGGGTCTCCTCCTCCACCGTCCCAAGTGATAGAACAGCAGCCGAGGGAAGATAGGCTGGAAAATGAGGAGCAGAACAGAGCACCAGTTGCGACTCATACGAGAACTATTGGAATTATTCATCCTCCGCCAGATATTAGGAGTATTGTTGATAAAACCTCGCAGTTTGTGGCAAAAAATGGACCTGAGTTTGAGAAGAGGATTATTGCAAACAATGCTAACAATGCCAAGTTCAATTTTTTGAATCCATCGGATCCATACCATGCTTATTACCAACATCGTTTGACAGAATTTCGGGCACAGAATCAAGCTCCTGGACTGCAGCCTACTTCACAGCCTGCAGATTCAGCTGCTCCTGATTCAGCTCCGAAACCTGATTCAGCTGCTGATGGAAATGAAGCTACGAAACCGGATCCTGCAGCACAGTTTAGATTACCTCCTCCTAAGGTTCTTGTACCCCCAGAAGCTGAGCAGTATACTGTTCGGCTTCCGGAAGGGATTACTGGAGAGGAACTTGATATTATTAAGCTCACGGCTCAGTTTGTTGCTCGAAATGGGCAAGCATTCTTGACTGGATTGACAAACAGGGAGATGAACAATCCTCAGTTCCACTTCTTGAAGCCAACCCACAGCATGTTCACCTTCTTTACTGGACTTGCTGATGCATATTCTAAAGTTTTGATGCCTCCAAAGGACTTGACTGAGAAGCTGACGAAGAGTGTTGTTGACATGACCACCGTGCTTGAAAGGTGCTTGCATCGCCTTGAATGGGAACGCTCACAGGAGCAGGCAAGACAGAAAGCTGAGGATGAGATTGAACTGGAGCGGATGCAAATGGCGATGATTGATTGGCATGATTTTGTTGTGGTTGAGACTATAGACTTTGCAGATGATGAAGATGAGGACTTGCCTCCCCCAATGACACTTGAGGAGGTTATAAGGAGGAGTAAGATATCTGCTATGGATGAAGATGAAATCGTTGAGCCTGGAAAGGAGATGGAAATGGAAATGGATGAAGAAGAGATGCAGCTAGTTGAGGAAGGCATGAGGGTTGCAAGTATTGAAGAGAATGATGGTGAGAAGGACACAAGGACAAATGAGGAGCCAGAACCACCTATGAGGATTGTGAAGAATTGGAAGAGACCTGAGGAGAGGCTCCCTGCTGAAAGAGACCCAACAAAGTTTGTTGTTTCCCCTATCACTGGTGAGCTAATTCCCATTAGCGAGATGTCCGAGCACATACGAATTTCCCTAATTGATCCTAAGTACAAGGAGCAGAAGGAAAGGATGTTTGCCAAGATTCGGGAAACTACTCTTGCACAGGATGATGAGATCTCTCGAAACATAGTAGGACTTGCACGATTACGTCCTGATATCTTTGGCACCACAGAGGAAGAAGTTTCTAATGCAGTGAAGGCTGAAATTGAGAAGAAGAAAGATGAGCAACCAAAGCAGGTCATATGGGATGGTCACACGGGAAGCATTGGTCGCACTGCAAACCAAGCTATGTCTCAGAATGCTGGTGAGGATCAAAATGAAGCTGTTAACAATGATGCAAGGAACCTTCCTGGTCCGGCAGCTCCTCCTCCCCGACCTGGTGTGCTGCCAGTCCGTCCCCTCCCTCCGCCACCAGGACTGCAGTTGAATCTTCCTCGTGTACCTCCAAATACAGTTCAATATTCTGGTCCAACTGGTGGGGCATATCCTGTACCTCCACAAAGGCCGGTCGGTATTCAGATTATGCAGCCAAATTATCCCCCTCCTCCAATGCAAATGGCATCTGGACAGCAACACGTTATGATAAATCGACAACCCCCTATGCCTACATCTATGTCTGGGAATCCAAGTCTACCTGTGCCGCCTCCACCTGGATCTCAATATAATTCTATGGCAGTTCCTCGACCTTTTGTTCCTCTTCCTGTCCCTCAACCTGGATTGCCTATGATGCCTCCACCACCTCCTCTGCCTCAAGGAATGCCTCCACCACCTCCACCTGAGGATGCTCCTCCTCCACTTCCAGATGAACCAGAGCCGAAGAGGCAAAGACTTGATGATTCTGCGCTTGCTCCAGAAGATCAGTTTCTGGCTCAACATCCTGTATGGGTTTTTTCTTTTTCAAAATTATTCCTCATATGCTACAGCTGTTGGATTTGTCATTCCTGATTTGTATCTAAACATAGTCTTCCTTTATCTGACTGCATGTTCAATTGATTTTGTCCTTATGCAGGGACCTGTGCACATCACTGTTGCTGTTCCCAATATTGATGAAGGAACTCTCAAAGGGCAAGTTTTGGAGATTATGATGCAGTCCTTGTCTGAAACTGTTGGCAGCCTGAAGGAGAAAATTGCTGGAGAGATCCAACTTCCTGCGAACAAACAGAAATTGAGTGGAAAAGCTGGTTTTCTGAAGGATAATATGTCACTTGCATATTACAATGTTGGACCAGGAGAGTCGCTGTCTCTCTCTTTGAGAGAGCGTGGTGGTAGAAAGAGATGAACAGGCTAATCATTGTGGCCTGTTTAAGGTTTTTGATAGAACTCTCTCATTGCATGAGATTTTCACATATTGCTATGCGACTTTGTTGTTCTGCTTCTTTTGATGCTATGCTGGAAATTATAATGGCCATGTATTGTTAGTATGATTATATGACTCATTAATTATCATATTTGAACTGATGATAGCAAGTGGTATCTAATACAGATTTGGCGTCATGGCAAGTGTTTCTTTAAGGGCAATGGGAAGTAGACCAGTTTCTTTTGCTTAGGCACGGCAAGCCATCTGTTTACAACTGCTGCTTCCTTCTGCATTTGCAGTTGTTTCTCTGGAAAATAAGTGCTTCATGGTCTTATTTCGGTTTTGATCGTTCCTCGTTGTCAAGAACTCATATATTGTAGACTCAATTTTTCTGCTCTTTTTTAGTTTTGTCGGCGCAAGTTCTTTTCTTGCTAAATGTAGAGATGTGAAGGGAAATTTACTAGAACTAGGCTTTGTTTTGTAGGTGAAGTGATCATGCCTGGGCAGTAGGGATGAGTGGGTGTATGCAGATTATACTAAGCACTCAACTTGTTTTCTCTTGTCGAAGGCTTATGCTTCATTAGTTTGTTTCTATTTTGCTGTTGTACTTTCCTTTAACTAGTTAAGTATCTAGCCGTGGGTTGGTGTTTTCTGATACTTATTCTTGTATGACGACAGAAAAGCAACTAACTTTTATGGATGGAATGATCTCTGCAACCTAGTACATTTCTGTTACTTAAAATCGCTGAGGCAGGTCGGTGATTCATCCATCTCATAAGTAGCGCTTTCTGTTCAAGTGCAGAATTCCAATAGCAGTGGCTGAAACTTCTTTTTGTTTATTTATTTATTTTTTGGTCATTTTTCTGCAGCATTTACGACGGTTCTGCTATACAAGGAGGCTGCCAATTGGCTTAATTGTTATTATTTTTCTTCTGGGATGCAGCATACTGGTCTTTGTTTGTAGTTGAATATGGAAGATCACGGCAGGCAGTATATGGATCTATACAATTTATCAGACCTTTATGTTCTCTTGTCCTCTCTAGTATTTACGCTAATGTATTACTCCCTTGGGAGCTGAAAAATTGGAATTAGAATCTTTCGTCACCGGTATAATAAATGCACGCCTGGTTTTTTATTGCCAGCTTTTTGGTCAGTTTGCCTGGGCTCTTATGGTAATCTTTCTGGATATAAGCTGTTTACCATTGCAGCATTTCTGGTTCTTAGAACTTCGCAGCTTAGTTTATTTGCTATTTCATGGTTCGCCTCATCCGATATCAGAATTGGCCCTCTATCTTGAACTTGCTTTTCTAGGTCTCTGCCTCTCTGGCGGCCATGGAGTGTACCTTTTCGAGACCGGAGGCCTCGGCTTGGTCTTGAGCATCAGTTCCATTAACAGCCAACGTTCTGTAGACAATTTGTAGTATGATTACTTTCATGTTTCTTTGACTAATAGTGAAACAAAAGGTGTTAGTCAAATTCATAACCAAATTGGTTATTTTCACAATTGGTTTTTTTAAAAAATTTCTATTACATATTTGTTACCATATCATATTTTGTAAATATGTTTTATATCAAAATTGTTATTTCTATTTCTTGTTTTTGTAAAAATATTAATACATCTTCCTAGTTATTTGATGGTGGATTTAACAGTAGCTAAACAGAAAATGAAAGATGATAAGATCACTTTAAACGAACAGATTTAATCTCGGTGAAATAATTATCAATCGCCCACTGTAAGCCAAAGGCACTAATTTTAAGACTGGAATATCCCCTCGGCCAAGAAAGGTTTACAAACGTTGATGGGAAAAATTTACAACAAATTAGGCAAGTGTTTACGCTACAATTCACCAGGATACCCACTACGCCGAGAAAGAAAAGCACTGTGGACCCAGCACAAAATATCCCTCTTTTCTATCTAGTTGCCACCTAATCAAGCAGATAAGGTTGTGTCGTTACAATCCTATGCTCCACACTTCTAACGCAAGCGCGCAAGTGTATGAGAGGAGACGGAGGGAGAGGGAGAGGGGGAGAGAGGATGTTAGAAGCTGGCCATTTGCTATCTGCTCAAAGCATGATAGGATTTCCAACCGCCTATCCATCAAGGACAAGAAGATCACAAAGGTTGATGTTCCAGACATCCAAAACCATACAAGCTTCAAAGAAAAATGACTTCCCACTGGTACCATGAAAGACACTATCCCATTACAACACTTAAATGCTAGTCAATCTTCTGCTGAAAAAAAATCTTGTTTCATGCTTATTATCACCTTGTTATCCCACTGCCCATCTCTGTGTATGGGTCGCAAGTCTCTTATCTTTATTTGTGGATTGATCAATTTGAAATGCTTTCTTGTAGCAATAGGTCGCCTTTTTCTCTCCTTTCTGTCCTTGGATAAAGATCACAAAACTTGGACTTGTCCCTTGTACGTTTGTACCAGGGGACTAAATGCCAACTGTTTGAATACTTTCTGTTATTGTTACTGGTTCAGCAATTACTTAATTGTTATGTTGTTGGGCAAAATGGCAGATAAGCAAGAAAAATCATAGGGCTCCCCGCCGTTTGGTTACAATATCAACTTCAAACGGGAGATGGCAAGGTAAATGGACTTCTGACTACCTACTGTCCCTTCAAGACCTGAAGTTAGAAGACTTGATTGAAGATGAACAAGAAGATGCTGAGGTTTCTATTAATCTCTCGGTTCAAAAGGTCATTGCATTGAATCCATTCCCTTTCATTTTCTCTTAACCAAGCATTGTGACCTGAAGTTGGAATGCAAGATATAAGAAGTTTAGGATCATTTGGCAGCAAGAATGCACATCTAAATGAAAGAAACGCCTACGTATAATTTTGAAGCACCTCCTTTTTCGATCCCTATTTGTGTTAAAGCAAAAATATTCTAAACTTGGTTCAGTGAGATATGGACAATTTAGATTGCATCTAATGAGTTTCCCTTCTTTTTTCAAAACCAGCATGCCAGCTTTGGTTTTTCAGTGGATGGAAGGATCGTCACATCTTTCACAAGGAAATGCAGCAACTGCTTTGCCCCATATTGTAGAATGGTCTGTTATTTTATAGAACTAAGTAGTAGGAATACTTTATTAATATTGAAATTGGTCTTCAAGAATGTGATTACTTACTATTTAGGTTGTGCAATACTTGGCTGTTCCTTACTCGCTACTGATTCCTTATAGAATATAATGACAGTGAACTTTTTGTTCTCATTTTTATGTCAGATTGATACAACTTTCAACGTTTGGGTTCTGCCATCGAGAGCCAATCGTGAAGTTCATCTACCTGATATTGGTGGCGATGATCCATCATTAAGTCTCTAAAATCTCTCTTTCTACTCCTTTCTCTCTCTCTCAGACATGTAATTAACACAGTTGATAGTGCAGGTTATATATGTGAAGCCTGGACATGAAGCTGATCTTGACTCATTGATACAAGACACAATAAGGCTTACCACCTCAGTTAAAGTATGAACAAAATGTTTAGAAAACAGCTAGTCATGCTTAAAAATTATCTCTTACTCACCAAGCTTATATCGTGCAGGATACTTGCTCACAATCATGCGAGAAATCCGAACCCAAATTGCTACGTAAGTGTGCTTGATTAATTTTTGACAATACTACAACAGACTGACGGTAGGCTTTGAGTTGCTTAAGCAAATTTGTGTTTTGGTTCTCAGATATCGGTGGACAGAAAGCAGCTTCTATTGATAAGAGGTGGTCTAGACTCTTGGAGCTAAAGAAGGAAACTTTGTGAGAAATGCACACCTTTATGTTGTAAATGAGTATATAATGGGTTGTGCAATATACTTAGCTAGGAATATAATGGAAGGATGAATTTTCTCAACTTAGGCCTCCCAATAGAGTCTCTTTTGTGAGATGAACTACATGGAAGTATTATGATATGTTTTCTGATTTATAAGCACAATAAACATTGCTTACTACTTGGACATTAATTATGTCTGGGAAAGGGCTTGATGAAGCATGATCATAAGTGCCCTTTTTGGTTAGTTCTTGTGACCTTGAATGAGTTGAATTATTGAGTGATGGAAACCATTATTCGCAATTCAAAATGTTACTTCATGAGAGACATAATTCTTCCAGATTAAGATAGCAATGATGTTACAAGCATACATATGGCACTAATCGACGAGCAACCTCATTAATAGGATGTCTGATCCCTTCATCTAAAAATAAACATCAGTCGAGTATATCCCAAGACAACTACAAACCGCAACTCCAACTTCTTGATGTTCAAATATCTGTGCTATAAGAAAGTTCCCGGGTAATGATACCTGCAAGATGAAATGTACATAATTGAGTATTTTGTAACAAAAGGAGAGAGGGAAGAGAGAGAGAAATGGAGATAGCTAGATTTATGCCACAATGGACCTTTTCACCAAGTTTGTAGGTTGGAAGACCTTTGTAATGGCAGGTACTACAGCGAAAGGCATCTCCTAGTCCACAATGAGAAGCAAAACAAAACAAATTCAGAGGAAAAATCAAGTAAATTACACTGACAAACTTTAAAAGACGATGTCATGGGAGCAAAATCCCAAAAGCGCAAAGCCCAGTCATGCACCACCGTTCTTTGCATAGCTTCAAATAACAACGCGATTTAAATTATGGTTCTTTGCATCGACTCTAATTTCATCAAGAACCCAAAAAAGCGATTGTGAGGTGAAGATTAAAAATATTTTTTAATCTAAAATATCTTTTTATAAGTTTAAATTTGTCTCTACTAAGAAAATTTTGAGAATAAAAAAAATATCTATAGTATTTAAAAAAAAAAAAACCCTCGAGCGAGTTTTAAGTAAATTTTTAAACTTTTGAATGATATTTATAATTTTATAATACTTAAAAGAGTCTTTTATAATTTATGTATTTTTATTTTACAAATTTATTAATTTAACTCAAAAGTGAGAATATAAATTTTGTTAAATTTTTTTGGGAATATTCATTCAAAAATATTTAGAAGACTATAAATACTATTTAAAATTTTAAAATTTTAGACAAATCCTACTTTTAAAATTTTTTTATTATCATAAAGAAGTGGATACTCGAAATTCAATCAAGGTTCTCTTAATATTATTATTTTTTGTTACTTTAATTGCTCATAAATACTTCAAATACAAAACCCTCCTTTAACACTACAAGAACAATCAAGTGAAAGAAATGGTCAATTAAGCCTTCTTGTCGGTTCGACCCGTACACGCCCTAATTGCACTATTGTGTTAAGGTTTTATAAGGACATATATAAATCATTTAATTTATTAGCGAGTACAACAAGTCATTAAGAAGACATTTGTATGGATGATTGTAAGCCATTAGATTTGATGGACCCCTTGGTACACAACCTAATTCAATGGGTGGGGGTGTCCTTTAGATGAAGCCACATGGTTGGACATTGCCGAGGTAAAACTCCAATTTCTAGAGTTTAGCCTTGAGGACAAGGCTAGTCTTCTAGAGGTGACGAATGTTACGAATCAAAATCCCTTCCAATCCGGCATTGATGTGGAGGATACAAGGGTTCAACATCCTTTGAGAGTTTATATGCATAGAAAGAGGAATTCTAATTGAATAATTACAACTAAGATGATTACAAGGAAAGAATGATGGAGTCTAATTTTGATTTGTTTTGAGCTTCCTTTTTTAATTATTTGAATTTTTTTATTTTGTACTTTCACTTTTATGAAGCTCGGTATTCCAGTTATAAATTAAGTAGGAGAATAAGAATAAGGAGGGGGGGGAGATTTTCTTGTATTTGACTAAGCAGAGTTGGCGAGGCTAGGCCTTGGACTTGTTATTGTTTCTCGGTTATTCGGTAAAGCAAGCCTTCTGCTAATTTATTTTTCAATCATATCTCCTTTATCAATATATCAATCACACTTGTTCACACCTTTCATTTTTAGGCTTAGAAATGTATGTGCATAAACATTATAACATGGTTGGTAAGAGTTTATCTTGCTTGTTTAAACATTAACTTGATATTCATAGACCAACTAAATTTGGAAGTTGTTATTAACACAATAAAAATCTAACCACATACTTTTTCATTTTTCTTTTTACATTAAATGGGTAATATAGTACTTTTTTTTACTTTGCTTACTTATTTGTTATACCTACAATACCTAGTCAATCCATAATACAAAAAATATCTAATTCATGTCTTAGTGTTGCAATTCAACTATCTCTTTCATACAACTTTTTACCACTACTTTCTTTTTCCTCTTCCTTCACTCACAAGTCATCGGTCCACTCAACCAACAAATTTAAAATAGTTAATTTATGATGACACCGGTAATTAATAAGCGTTTGTGATCTTGACACATAGTTAAGTAAGAGCAAACTCTTTTAGTTGATAAGTATGAAATAATGTATATGGTAATGTATATAGAAAAAGTAGTTGTTGCTACTTGATAATATGAGACCTTAACATTAAAAAGAGTCAACAAAAATAAAGTAGCCACCTAATATTTTAAGAAAATAAAAAAAATCTAAAAAAAACACTCGATTTCAAAATATGTGTATGGAGTTGATTGTGTTTATAAAAAGAAAAAAATCACCCCAAAAACATTATTTTCTAAGAAAAAGATTGCCAAACTTTTTTATATTCCTAAGTCATTTCTTGAAAATCTTCATTTCCTAAACTATTTTCTAAGTTTATTTTTGAGTTTATTGCTAAATCAAGTCGACATGAATTTAAAATTAATTCTTCATATTTTATTATGAGGGTCATTTTGGACATATTAAATGATGTATTATTTATTGAGGAATCATATCAAATTATCCTAAAATCAAAAGTCACGTAAATTTAATATAAGATCTATTTATAGTTCTATCATGATTGTTATGCGTAAGATTTATGATAGAATTGTATTAAATTATTGTTTGTCCCTAAAATCAAGAGTCGTGCTAATTTAACATTTGATCTAATATAGTCTTAATATAAGTTATCATGCCAAGAACATCTCAACATTAAAACATACTAAATTAATTAAAGTTTATTAAAATTTTGGATGGACAATCCCTAATACTTTAGCTGAAAAAAATTTATTTCTAATGCATGAATCAATATACAAACAATGAGTTTTCATGGAGAAAATAGAGCAAGAAAAACATCCCAACATAAGCAAAAAAATTTGGCCATAAATGGCATGCATTCCTTCAAGGTTTAGACCGAAAATATATAGTAATTATCATCTCAAAGTCATTTCAAACTAACAAGACAAGAAGATAGAAGATATATCTTAGAAGAGTATAAATGAACAAAACCAAAAAAAAAAAGAAGAAAGAAGAAGAAGATTGCCACAACTTGCTTGAGGAGGGGATGAGGGAGTTTCGAGCCCAAATGTTTTGATTTTTTGTACTTTTTTCCTCTCTTTTTTAGTGTGTGTGTGCTTGTGTCTAGTATACTTTTTCTAGTATGTATGTGTTTGTGTGATACCCCCCTCCCCCCCCCCCCCCCCCCCAAAAAAAATGATGTAACAAGCTTGCTTAAAGTTGCCTAAAAACCTCCCTTTTTTCCATTATTTTTCTTTATTTTTTCTTCTTCTTTTCGGACCTCATTCTTTGTTGATTTTTTATTTTTTGTTTCTCTTTTATAGACTCTATAAAAAGATTTAGAACTCTTTGCTCTTTAATGAATCCCGACTTTTGTTTCTAGAGCCAATCTTGGTTGTTCAAACTTTTGCTAGCTACTTTTTTTAGCTTTTTGTAGCTTTAAAAATGGTTTAGAAAGGGTGTCTTTTGTGATTATTTTTTTTTTAGAAAAAAAAAGGTAACACTTTTGTAGGGTTTTTTAGCAACGTGAGGGGCTTTTTTTTGTTTGGGGGGGGGGGGGTGTTTGGGGGTTATAGGGGTGGTGGGGTTTGCAAGACAAGAGGTAGAGATTGTAAGGATGAGTTTTGACTTGGTGTAATGAAGGGTGTGAGGCTTGTTTCACGGATTGAAAATAAAGAAACATGGCTGGAAAATATAGGAGAAAAAGAAAGAAGGATGATGATTAGTGCGTAATTTATACAATTTTTATTTCTTTTTACATTAAACCTATTAATACATTATGGTGTCGTTTAGTTATAAAAGCTGAAAGGTCCGGAATAGGAATGCAAGAATTGAAATGAAAATTAAGAAATCGAAATGACATTTGTATTCTCATATTGTGTTTGGAATACTAAGGAATCAAAATGCAATTTAAATTTTTTAATATTTGATTTTTTATATAAATAAAATTAATGATTAAAAAAATAATTTTATCAAACTATAAAAATTATTAAGCATTATTATCCGTATGGTTATTATTTATTCTCGCTATTTGTTTGTCTTAATCTATCCATCAAAGTACAAAATGTCAAACCCCCTCTTTTTATTTTCTCGATCTTTTTAAAACAATTAGATAATTGATAAATGGTATAAATAAATTCTCTATGAAATCGAGCCTTACTTATTTTAGCTTCATTTTAGTAATTAGGTCCGATAAGGAAATAACTAGATTATTTTGGAGCATTCGGCAAGCTACCGGATGATATGAATAATGCGAGGTCAAACTATGATCTTTATTTTTTTTTTCTTTGAGATGATGCAAAATGCATAGTTTCATTTAAATGGTTCTTTTTTTTTCTTTTTTAAAAAAAAAACTACTCAAAAAAAAAAACCAGTATCATGTAAATTGAAAATTCATCAAAATACTTAATATCATGCCAAAATAGAAATGCAACATGTAATTTTTTTTAATTCTTTTATCATTTTTGCTTAAATAATTTTTCTTTTTCTTAATAAAAAATTTATGGAGGATTACAAATGTGTTATAACAACATAAAAAGTAGTTAATGGATTAATCAGGACAATGGCAATGGTAGTTTAGGTAATTTATTGAATTTTAAGATTATTATTATTATTATTATTATTATTATTATTATTATTATTTTATATATCTTATTCGCTTTACTCAAATCTTGTGCATTATTCGGCAAGAGTTTTATTTTAATTAGAAAGTTTCACGTATGCTTTTTTAATGCACGTCAAATTAGCTTTCTAATGCATGTCACGTTAGCTTCTAAGAATAACATAGTATATTAATTGTCAATATTAATTAACCTCTTATTAGTTTCATCTTTTTGCGTCTAGATCTCTTCACATTTTTCTGTGTTAATGTAGCAGTTACTCATGCTTCCTAAGCTTCTTTATATAATTTAATAATTAAATTTAGGTGAATAAATAAAGCTTAACTTGGTATCTAGTTCTATTATGAGGGCTACAATTCAGTGATTAAAAAAAAAAAAATTCATGTTCATCACTAATTTTATAAACAATATTATGATTTCAAATAAACGTAAAGTCAGGACAAGACATATTACAAAAACTTTCATCTTTGATGAAATCAGTGCGTGGTGTAGAGAGCACAAGGAATGCAAAGAAGCATTGCTTCCCTTCCCCTTCTTTATTATGCTTAATGGCTTTTCTGTGCTTTTTTTTTTTTTTTTCATTTCTTTAATTTATTATGCTTAATAGGTTTCACTATTCTTTTCTTTTCGATTTATCTAACTGATTAATTAATTTTTAGACGAACTTATTAAAACTCAGATTAGGAGGTTCATAAGATTTTATTCCTTCTCTCTCTCTCTGTTTGTCAATTGACTTTCAATTTGTAGTTGAAGTGATTTGTAATTTAAGTAAAAATAATAAGGTTTTGACTGATTATATTATTGATTATTAACATTAGGATTCAATTCACATTGTACGTTAAGTTAGTAGCAAACAAGTGACTTCTATTTTCTATGTTCTCTTTTTATTTTTGTTCTTTTATGTTTTATATTTTTCTGTCATATTTTTTTCTCTATATAGTAGAAGATTTGAGTATGTTGCTGCATACTACACTTATAAATTATTGTTAAGAAATTTACTTGATGTCTATCTTAATTCCAAACCAAAATTTGAGTAACATTTTAAATCGTACTTGATGCATGTTAAAAAACATATTTCACATTAAATAGTTAATAAAAAGATAAGCAATACATAAAGTTGATAAAAAGTTATCTATCGTAAAATTTAAATCTTTCAAATAAAACTCAATTTCAATTATCTAATTTTATATAGTATCGAGCTTTAAAAAGATTCGTTGACCCAAGAAAGATTTCGAAACCTAAACCTCTTGAGAGACTTTGTAGCATATGCAATATCTTAACGACTATCATAAGTTATGCATGAAGATGTAAACAAAATTTATTTAACTGTTCTAAATTATGGATGAATTCCAATTTAAGTTTTTTCATTCTTAAAATATTTTTTATAATACATTATTTAAAAGATATTTAACCGCATTTGACCAAATTTAAGAAACTCTTAGCTCTAAAATTAAAAATAAAGAAAATTTATATTAGAACTTATCAAATTCCATTCCTAGAAAATAAAAACTAAATATTATACAAGAAAAGATAACAACGATAGAATTAGAGAGAAAAACGATGAAGAAATGATTTAACTATGAAATAAAAAGAATAGAAAAGATAACAACTCTAAACAATTCTCTTAATCTCTACTAAATGCTTGTATATCAACTAATGAACAATCAAGTCTATTTA